AAAAAACAGTTATGGTCAGCCATTCCACTTGGCCTTAATTTAGAAATTCATACACAAAAATTCTATCTTCATTTTTATATTATATAAGAATATTAATTAATTAATTGTAGATGTTAATACGATTATTATATTCTCTAAAAATAAGGAAAAAAAAGTATTTTATAAATGGTTTTGTCTGTATTAGAAAATAATAGGGTTTAAAAGCTTAAACACGCACACAACGAAGTAAATATAGAATCCTAATGTGTTTTCAATTAAATGTTAATAATGATAAGAGTCAAATACCCCATATTCATTATATACAGACGTGTGTGTGTATATATACATGCCTTAACCTTTCGAAATGTGCATCTGATCGTATTTTTGCATTAATATCATTGATTTCACGATCTTTATCTGTCATAGTAATATACGCATGTACCATTTTTATAAATGATTTTTTTTTAAGCTCGCATAATTTCAATCAAATTTCAAACATTGCAACTTTCTAAATTCCAAAACTGTTGAGCTAATTTAGATTTACAAGTAAGGATTAATAACGATGAATAGAGATCAAAGAAAAAGGATAATGAATATGTAAATGATTACTTACTGTTTGACTATAATATCGAACTATTTTATTATCCTTAGATAAAAATATTTTCGTCTTATAATAGATGTCAATATAAATGTTGAAGCATCATAAGATCAGAGATTAAAATTTATTATTGACACTTGAATATAACCCATTTTCAATTCACTGCAAATCAGTTAAATAAACACTTACTCGTGTTGTGAGTGAACTAGATTTTAAGTATGCTATTTTTGGAAAGTAAACATGATAAATGAAATAAAAATATATGAAGTGCAAAATCTATTAATGTTAAAACTACGTCGAGCCTTTTGTCCTGAAAAGCATCCATGACATGTAAATTATTGTTAACAATAACAGTGGCATGTACAGGCCATGTATCTGTTGGAGCTGAATTGGTTTCAGAAAATAGAATATACAGGGTAAGGTTCACTATATTGAATTAGCAATAGAAATATGTGATGGATTATCATCCACGCGTAAAAATTTCACGTGTTCAGACATGTGAATATTATTCAATGTGATATAACCAACCCCCCACAATTAATTTCAAAAAAAGTGCATTGATAGAAGGGTTTGACCCCAAATCAATATTTCATATGGAGTTTTATTTATCAATTACTTTGTACCCTATATGTAAATATTGTAATATTTATTCATTCTTTCCTTTCCACAAGGTTTAAATCAACATAATATGAAAGAATAATATGTGTGTGTAGATGACAAAGCAAAACAAAATTAAAATTAAACTAATGGGTTGATTGAAGTTGAAAAATGCATTGAGAAAATAAACAATAGATAAATAAAGATAGTAACACATAACAACATACGATAATTTCGATTAGTTGTAACTTTAAAAGTTTAGAAAGAAAAGATTTGATTGAGGAGCAATCAATCACATATCATCGATCATCCATGATCATCCATTCATGCAACTCACCTTTCACTATTACATTTTTAATTTTAAGTTTGTTGCGAAGATCTGTCATTAACAACCAATTATTACCTTAGTATCATGAATAAAGGAATGAATGATATACAGGTATTTTATTATATATTACAGACGATGTGACTATTAACTGGGTATGTTACGTACTTTGCAATTACTTATATAGATTATTTACTTAATTTAACAGAAATAAATTAGCTACGAAGATATAATCATGATTATAACCATTCACATGATAAAACGGATATAAAAAATGCGTACTGAAGCAAGCGAGTATCGTACTAGAAAAAATTCCAAGTTCAACATAGGAATTCATATTTCTAACGTCTCCCGGTACGGTACGCACTTCCTACACATCATTTTTTTTTTCCAGGACGGTATGCAATTTCTACATACCGTGATAGAATTCCGTGTTATATATTATTATTATTAATTCGTGATGATCGCGGGAAAGATTGCGCTGGCAGAAGAAAACTTCCACAAAGATTTCACATAGTGAAATGATATTTTTTTGCCTGTTATATAAATATTTTTTTGCTTGGGTTTGTCAATGATAAGTCGGTCTCATTATGTTTTAGTAATGTATGATTTAAATCGTCATTAGCAAAATGATTATTTGTAATAAAATATCTGATGTAAAAAGAACCATCTTTATTGTCCATTTTTTATAATTTAGAAGGAAGAGAGCATTCTCACCCGTGAGCTACATTATGATGAGTTTCCATTGGCATCATAATTTTAGGTACAAGTTTGCATTTGCATCATACTTCAAGACTGCTACCTACTCATGACTAAACTGTTATCTACTTATTTGTAGATACCTGTGTTGATGCCATTTTATATTTCTTTTTACTATGGTTGCTGGCTTGCCAAATGTTTTCCATGCCAAAACATATAATTATTAATAAATTAGACTATTTTGTGGTCATTTGCTAGTAGTCTAAATAAACCAATGAAAAACGTATAAATAGTCCCTCTGTCCCCCCCCCCCCCAATTGCTTAGCAAAAAACGCATTTTATAAAGAGAATGAATGGCTGATTTTCCTGTGACATGATCTATAGATTTTTGTCCATAACTGAAATTAATAGATTGATATTAACAGTTAGCCTTTGTAATAATTAGACAGATTAATATATGCTTAATCTTACCTTCAATTCATTTTGGGTCCATGATTTGATATTATGACAACCTGATGCACATAACATTGTTTACCATGTACCTAATTCTCATTTGTTCATCTCATAATTTTTTGGATAAATCGTCTCAGGGTTAAGGTTTCTGGCTGAAACTCTCTTTATTAGTAGCCGAAATTGCTGAAACACATTGGACAAAAATTACTTTTTTATAAGCCCAAACTATTTTTTGTTATTAGCCGAAATTGGGCGAAATTACTTTAAAGTTGTTTAAGTTAAAATAAGTTGATTGATATAGTTTTTTAATGTTCATGTTTATAAATAATGCCGAGAAGTCCAAATTGCCCAAACTAGTTTGGGCTTTGAGAAAACATTTTTGACCAGAAACCTTACTCAAGATGAGAAAACAATTCAATTACTGTACTTTCCTTTAACCAATCAATAAAAATTTTATATTGGCAAGAGATTTTCTTTCAAATCATATCAGCTGATTTGGTTTTTTGGATCCTTTTTTCAAACCTTATATCTTATTGTGTCTCAACGTTAAACACATTAAACATGATGTGTAAATTGGTCAATAGAATGCTAATTAACCCCCAAAAAATTTATTTGACCTGCTAAAAAACTATTTTACAATTAGATAGCCCATCAAACCAATGGCCCTACCTCAAAACCAATAGGTTTCTGCTATATAGTATAAAGTATTCATAATGTTATGATCATACCATACTGGATTTTGGGGTTCAAATAAAATCAGCACATATGTGGTAGTCATAAAGATTTTTCATAATTGAAAAATTACCCCATTCATCTGGTGTATATTTTGGAACTTTATAATTCCTAATTAAATCTTGAACAATAAGACCATCTAAACTAAAGAGCTGATAGCCATAAAATTTTACATATAGCCAGTTTTTTCCAAATTTCAATCGGAAATCTACCTTCAAAGGATCATAGTAAATTTTAATGGTGCATGCATCATTTTCTATTATTGAAACAAATAATAAATTCTCTTGTTTATAAACAATGATTGATAACCAGTCCCTTCATTTTTTTAAATTTTGTTGAGAAGAACTTCCAATTGAATGGATGAAAATTTTCAATTCACCTAGAGAAATATAAAAAGGACAAAATGCATCAATTATTGAAAGCTTATAAACAATTTTTTTTTCATTCCAACTCATAATTTGTGGTCCAGAAAATTTAGTTGTCACTTCCTTGCACATTTGTTGATATATTTTAGAAATTGCATTAGTAGGATTAGTTTCTTTAATACATATAGTCCCAGTTTCAAATATAGCCAGGAATATGAGAGCTTTCTTTATTTCCATGCACTATTTCAACATAAAAATCGTGTCCATTCAAATGGGTTGTTATTCTTTGTCCAACATGAATAGGAAATACTTTCCATTATCAGAAGACTGCCACCAATAACAAGAAAATGTTCCATGAAGGAAACTACTTGTTATGACTTTGTGTATCATTTTATCTTGGTAATAAAGAAGATATCAATCATTTTTATTTCTTTCTCCAATGACATTGCAATTCGAAAATAAAATATTAACAAAGAAAACCAAATTCTTATGAGATTATTTATAATGTTTAAAGTTGTATATATATATATCAGTCAGACGACATTTCACGCGATCGACATGTCTACTGTAATAACTATGTAGAAATTTTGTGCAACATGTCAATTTTTACTATTAAAATCGAAGGAACTTTTTCATTTGTCACCTAGCACACCCACATGAAGTTTTAACCAGAAACGTGATATTTTGTACACGCATTCTTTGAGACTTATTTTATTTCCTTGCAAAATTTTAGCTATGGTTTACTAAAAAAACGGAAAAGAATTACTTGTTGAAAGTTACGCCTTCAATTCTTAATCATGTTACAACAAATTATTTTGAACTTGTAATTTCAATAAAACATAAACAAGAAGCCACCATTCGGTTTTTAGAAAACATTGGGTTGGTGAGGCATGGACAATGGAAACAAGGTCAACTTCTATGATCCACATCTCAAATGTATAATTCCTTAGTAAATA